GTGGAAGTACCTTAGGTAAATGTGTTGGCATAGCAACTTAGACTGAGCAGAAGAGTGCTGTCATAGTCAGAAAACAGTATATGTTGTGATATTTGTGCATGCTACTGCCATTTCTCTGCAGATGAGACCCTCGGGTTCACATTAAACTCATAATGATTCAGTTCAAGCTTCTGAGAACATTTGGTCCCTGTAGCACATACGCTGTAGCTTGATGCAGATATTACCGACAACGGTATCACAGTCACTCCCATAACAGCAGGATGGCACCTAACCTTGCAGTTACCATGCTGATAACGGGCAGAAGGTCCATCTTACTTCCAACATGGACATATGGTTCTTGCCTGCGCTGCCTTCATTGTCATCAACTGATTTATTATTGCTTCTCTCAGTATTGTTTGAAGGCTGCAGAAGTTACTGGATGGGATATTGGTCTGTTCGTTACAATTTGAGATAAAGGGAGTAGGAGCATCTGCTCTCTGAGGGAGGGAAGCAAAGGCCTTATGAATAGCATGTGAAGCACTTGTATAAGGCAGCATTGAGACTCAAGTTTGTCCAAATGAGGAAAAACAGAATATCAAAGCCTTATACTTGGTCAGTACAGATGTGCTATTATGAATTGTTTTTTAATTTAAGATTTTTGGCATCAATTTTGATGGAAAAGCTGTCATTGCTTTTAAGCCTTGTCTCAGATGGAGATCTCTTGTATCTACGTACTCATACCTGAGTGGTACTGTTTTTCACTTGTGTATATCTTGCTATGCAGAGCAATTCAGTGAGTGTTAGAGCACTGTGGAAACAATCTACATAGTTGTCTGAGTTCTCCAGCACTGTAATGGCAGACACTGCAGGACCTCCACCACTAACCCTCAGCAGGGGTTCTGTAGTCCAGCTTCACTTCTTTATTTTTTTAGTAGCTGGTCATTTTCTTCTTATTTATAGTTGGGATACAGTTGGAATCCCTGTGAACTTCTTCTGTGGGAAGAGGCAGAGAAGGTTATATGTAATGTGTAAGGTCAGTCATGGGATTATCCTTCCTGAGTGCACAGAACAAAGCTGTGTTGACTAGTAAGAGAAAAAATCAACAGCTTTGAGGTAGGGACAGAGAAAACAATGCCGAGAGGACTGGCTTGGCTCTTCCTGGGTTGATGCAGCTTTGTCTTCCTAAGGCTGAAAGCCAGGGCTCACAGGGATTTGAAGCCTTAAGTGCTGGTGTCCAGGAGAGGGGAAAAGGCAGCAGTCCAAGGAATGCTGGCAAAAGCTGCCAGGCGTGCAGCAGGGAAGGCCCGTGGGCAGGAGTGCCTGTCTCTCCTAGCCAAAGATCTGGACTAGCTGCACTAAGAGGACTTTCCAATCATCACTTATGAGTTTTGTAGAGCTAAGGGAAAACATGAATGTTGTAAGACTCATTATAGTGCTGCTTTGTGCTTCAGGGTTGACACAGCCTTGTATTACAAAATTTACAGCTTCATTGTACAGATGTTCCGTTCACATCTTTTATAGGAACAATGTAATAAATGAGGTTTTCTGATACTCTGCTAGTCTGGAATCACTTGAGGGTCGTTGCGCATCTGCAAACCACTGGACAGTGCCTCAGCTGAAGCCAGTGAAACTTCCCTAACTTGTGTTAGTAGGGCATGGAGACTTTAGCAGTATATTTCTTTTTCAGATACAGTCAGATGGTAGGAGATACCAAAGTCTGTAGTGACTGTGCTAAACACAAAGCCATGTGCAAACTCTAATGATCTAATGCAAGCCCTATGCAGGATCACAACTGTTATCGTCATGACTAATAACTTGCTCTTGGATCCTTTTACTCAGCAGTCTGAAAGTACTAACTGCTACCTAAATATAGATGAAAAAGTGACTCTGAAAGATTTGGTATATTTGTTTCAATCTTTCTTACGAGAATGAAAGCTGGACACTTCATGAGAAAAGTGAAGTCTCTCATATCTGAAGGTTTTATACGAGTGTTTTGTGGCTGGATTGACGCGTTGTCAGCATTTTCTGACATTGTAATGAATAAAAATAAATATATATTTAAAGCTTAGTGTATTGTGTCCTGTTCTGAATTTTGGAGTTCTGCCCAAAAGTGGAAGTACTAATTAGAAAAGGGTGTGTAAAGAACAAACTTGTCTGGAGATTAAATGCCGCTGATTGAATAATGCATAAAACTGCCACAACAACAGTTTTTTAGTGATTCAAGCTTTATGAATATTTACTGGAGTTGTACCGGATGAAACAAATTCAAAACATTGCTTTCACAGAACTGCTAAAGTCATGGGTCTCCTTTACTAGGAGCAAATGTTTGCTGTGTTAGCGAAGAACACTTGTTGAGCAAGGGGAAGTCGATGGGACTATTTTGCTTCATGTACGCAGAGTATCAGCACTGTCATCCATGGTGGATGTGAATAATACTCTGTTTAGGCAGGAGTAATGCAAAGCTATCAAACCACATTTCTCTCTGCTTAAACCTCATCTAGGGGAGAAGGATGTAACATCTGATAAATGCCACTTACACCTTCCCCAGGCTAAGCTATTAACCAGTCCTCATCCTTTTTATCACTGTCACGGTCTGTGAAAGGGGTGCTATGGTTCTGGGCAGCAATGTTCAGTATTGGGATATGGAGCCTGCAAGACACAGTTGGTCTGGCCGTTCTGTCCTTTCTTTTAAAAGCAACTCGCTCCCTCTGCAGGCTCTTTCTTGACCATCCTCTGAACTGAATTTCGGCTGAATTGCTACAGGGCTTTCTAGGACGTATGAAAATTGCCACCCTATTTGGTGTTAATATAAACATGAGTATTTACCTTGGGAAAGGTGTGCTTCCAGCTAGCAGGGAATAATAGCACTCCTGTGGCAGGATAGGCTGGATATATTCATTGTAATATTTCTTAAATGCTGAAGGGCTGGGACATTGTGGGCCAAGGATTTCGTAGAAGCTGAACTCAAAGCGAAGGCCTGTCTTACACATTTTAATTTTACTAGGACAGAAGTTTCTCTCTTAATTTATGTATCATACGTATTTCTTGCTGATGTGCTTTCAGTTCATATGTACAAATAAAATACACCAAAGTATGCCAATTGTTGCAGAAGAAAATCACTTTCTGGTAGTGCAGAGATAGAGCCTGTTATCTGGAAACTTCTGTTAAAGTGCTGGCAATAACACTTCTGTCTGAAGTACAGAGTTCATTTGAATTTGCTCAGTTCAGTTTTTTCATTTTCAAGAATTCTTTCTGTAGTCTAGGAAAAGTCTAGGAAAGAAGTTAACAGAGAAGATAATTTCTAGAATTTCATCACAGTGAAATCTGCCTGTGTAACGTTGCCTCAGAGTAGAGATGTAGAGATGCAGCTGGCTAGCCCACTGTTCCAGTGATGTATTACATCAGTGCTGCTGTCAGGCTCTTTTGTCTGTAGAAATCTGCAAACAGTCAAGCTTTTTGATTAATAATTCAATGGAAGAAAACGTTTCTTTGGTATTTCACTTCTGTCCTAAATCTCTACTTTCCACGTTATGTTAGGGCAACAAAATGCAGCTGAATTTCATCAGTAAGCTCTATTGAGTGTTATCACATTCCCTGGCTGCATTCTAGCACGTTGGTTCTGTATTTCCTAGGAACAGTAGCTTTGGGTAAAGAACAAAAGGTACTTTGGACAGGATTCTCAGAAAGCACTGACTACATACCCTCTGTTGTCTGACTTTCTAAAACCACTGCCTTTTTTGATACAGTATTTTCAACTCATTTAGATGGTCATACCAGAGAAGAAATCAAGTCCTTTATTACAAAGATCAAAAGTCATGGTTACCATTTACATACACAATTTACAAATTATTCACAAAAGGAATAACAGATATGCAAGAACTGACAGCTTACTTCAGCCCAAGTTGGGGATGGGACAGTGTATTTGTTTCCCTGCTTTACTTACTGAAAGAAAAAGATATGTTTGGTTTTTGTTGTCTGTATGTGTTAAACACTGATCTAGTGTTTATGTAGCACCTTTAGTTATAACCATGCAAATCCTTACATGCTTATCTTTATTTGAAAGAGTGCCATTCATGTAAAAATATGCACTGGGACCTGTACTCTCTTCATATCGCTGAGTGTTTGTTGGTCAAAAATCCAGTGGATTTTGGTACAATATAGTGGTTGGGCTTGAGAAAGTTGATTTGTAGGATTTTACTGATCTGAGCAATGTGTCATTAAAACAAAATGGAGATTACTATCAGAACTCTTACTCTAAGAACTAAATTAAGTATGGCTGCTATATTTTTCAAGAATACTATATGATCTGAAGATAGATGTTAGCCATGTTGTTAGATGTCTTTGATACCGCAACTGATTTATTGCTTTTCCTTCATTCAAGTTAGCACGTTTTATACTGTTTCCTAAAACTATTTCAGAGACTGGGAAACTTAACAACAAAGAATCCTACTTTGAGTGATTTGGTAAATTAGCAAACTTTTCACAGAGTATCTTACTGCACTTAACAAAAGGGAGAATGAGTTTCCAAATCCGCTGGCACAATACCAACTGTGCGGTAGCTGCCATTTAGCTAAACCTACAAATATCTATAATTTGCACTTTTTGCTGTCCACTGGGATGACATGTATGACAAAATGCTTGAAGGAGCACACCCATTTAGGAGCAAACACAAATATAAATACAGATATCACCAATGTGATGTTGCATCCAAATTCTAAGCAATAAAGCAAAACACTTCACAAAAGTTGTTACGTCTAGTGGAACCGCTTAGTGGGCATAATCCAAATACTTATGACAGTATTATGATGGTATGACTTTCTACCCAGCTATCAGATATTCTTTACCATGAACTTTTATAGTATTCTCAGGGTGACAGATAATGTTGTAGATGCCACGGTAAACTTAAAATACAGTAATAGGCAAAGATTTTAGTGGCACCGCCTGTATACGCAACATAGTTGATGGAACCTTATGGAACAAAGCAACATTACAGTATGCCTTAGTTAAGGCTTCTTGCTGGTTTAAAAAGGTAGATTTTTCTTTAGGGAGATTGTCCAGCAGTATTGGTTTCACATCTCTTCAGTGGAAGGTCTCTTTATTGATCCACATAAGACTGCGTGTTTCGTTTGGTTTGCATTCGTACTCAATGCTACCAAAGCTGTTTCCCCATTGGCAATGATCCCGCTTGTGGTAGTTGTAGAATTTGACTTGCCAGACTGTTTCAAAAACGCCAATGTCGTTAAACTGTGAGGAAGAGTGAAGATCAGTGTTAGTGACCTGATTATTTTGTTGGTTTCTCTCTATTAATAAGAAACAACACTCTTAAGAAACTGCAGAACGTAAACCAGCTGATGTAAGGATTATTGTTCCTCAAGTCAGTAAGTCAAACATCTGTAAAGCCTGCTCTAGCAGTTGTAAAGTCTTTTATGCTTAGGCATACATAAAACATGAAGGATCAGTTTCTCCATGTGTTGTCCGCTTGCACTTGTATCTGGGAAAGGCAAGGGAGTAAAAATGTTCAAGTTCCTGTATGGATAAATGTTACTAACAGCAAGAATCAAAGCTATAATGCTTCTTAGGATGACACAGCAGTAGTCAGCATGATGATCTCAAAGTGGCTTATACATACATATTGTGTAGCGGTGATCTGTAGTGATACAGGCCATCACTTCACCTTTATGCCATACGCAACTGGGAAAATCCCTTCTTTTGCTCAGTCTGAAATATTTAATATCCCTCTATTTTGTAGCCTTGTGTTTTGCAGTGTCTTTGACTGAGGTATGCTGCTATTAGACCATTTACTCCTTCCCTGGGATTCTGTTCCACATTTTGCATGAAACTTAAGCAAGAGAAGTTCTCCTTTGTGCATTACTGTAATTGCTAGTTGTACTATGATACTGTAGCTTTTCAAACTTAGATATGAGTAATAGAGGCTAGGAAGGAGATAGTTGGCGCATGTTAGCAGGTAAGTGTCTAATAGATTGAAGGTAAAGCGAGACGTTGACTGCAGGTTGTCTGATTGTGCTTGCAACTTTGAAGTGAATGCGACTATGGCTATACTAAGTTCTGCAAAATAAAATCTCTCACTTTTTTGAAGCCATTGAAGCCATTGCTAGATATCCTTGCAATATCAGAAAAACATATGAATGAGGCTTAACAAGGGTAGATCATGACTTTGGTTATGATGGTGATGTAAAATTTGTGTTCCTGTACCTTGAGACCTTGCAGAGTCTAAAGCATGGGTGTGAAGCCTATACATGTTGTTATTGGTCCCAGCAGTATGGTTTGTTGATTGTGCTGTGTTGTTAGAAGATACTAAATAGTGGATTCAGTGCTATTGAATGACACTGTTCTTTAACATTTTTTCCTTTTAAATATTTCCATCACACACTTTAATGACAGCTTCTTCACTGGACTGTTTTCCATTCCCATCATGTGCTTAGGAGCTTGATCATCTGCCTTTTATAATCACATTTGTGAAGGCAGTATGAAAGCCCTTTTACGCAGTGACTCTTCCTGAGTTGGAAACAGAGCCTTCTATATCCAATTTTCTCAGAAAGACATGTTTGGTGTTTTGTTTTTGTTTTTTTTTTTTAATTCAAGATGTGGTTTGTAGGCTGCTACTGTGTAATCAACATTGCTTTAAACCTTCCCCCGGCCCACTGTGGTAACTTAAATTTAGCCTTGACAACAGTAGAAATTGCTGTGTGCTGTTAGTAGAAGATTTTTATTTGGCTCCAGTTGCAAGTGTTATCTTAAAGGAGTAACTGAAATATTTCTGCCACTTCCTTTGACAAAGAGAATCAGATGTACAGCTATTTTATCCCTCACAGCAACTAAAACCTTAATTAAGGATTGTTTTTTATTAATCACCTCCAGTAATAATCCTGATACACTCATAATTCAAGATAGTAAAGGTTAAGCACATTGGATATTACTGTGCACAATCCACACAGAGAAATTGTGAAAGAGGAGCATCAGCCACCCTCAGTCTGGAACTTAAGGAAGAAAAGGCATTTCTGATAGCATTTGTAGAAGGTGATGTGATACAAGAGCAGCATTTTATTTCATTAATGTATGGAGGATCTGAATTTCGACAAGATAAAGGAAGAAAACAAATTCTGTCTTCCTCCAATGACCCAGTTTACTGAGCTGCCCTGAGTAGTTTGACTGCTGTGGATTTCCAGGAGAAGGAAAGAATTAATTGCAGAGCTTTTCTATCACCATGTGCCTCCCCCCCTGCCTGGTACTTAGCAGATGCAGCAGCTCTGTGGCGTAATGAGCATTCTGCATCCTCAGAGCTCCCCTGAATTCCTGTGGCTGAATCCTGGCTCCTCTGCATACCCAGTGGAGGAGGGATGGCCCTACTCTTTGTAGGTCAGGCTTACAAGTCTTAGTTCCCTGTCTGCTATTTCTCTGTCACCAGCTGCTATAGGCGTGAATAGTTATTTAATCACTCCCTCTGAATTTGTGTGCTAGGATAATTTGATGGCTATTTACTATGTGAATGGAGGTCTGGCTTCTTTATTCAATCTTAATCAAGTCTGACGAAGAATAAAATGAGATCTAAAGAGAGGTTTCTAACTTAGTTTACACTGCTAGTCAGTTCAGCAGTTTCTGGATAGTGTGCATACTTGAGCATTCAGTTAACAAATGCATCCTCAGATTCTGGAATTCAGAAATGGGACTGTTGTTTTACCTGTATAAAGTATGGCTGTAACAGGTAAGATGTCTACCAGCCAGTTAAAGTAGGAGCATAAAGAATTATTTGTTTAAGGTTTTAAAGCAGATGGGAAATAAATTCTTATGGACTTTCTGGCTTTTAGGCATTAAATTGACAGTATCAGACCAGTTTTTAACTGCAGGACTGACCTCACAGTCTATTTCTAATGTGAGTTCAGATTTTATGCCTTGAGTAGTGTCCTTATCTCCCTAGGATGCATCAGGACCCTGTGTGTTATAGAAAAGGAAGTGGAGGCTGAAGTTCCTCATAGTTGAAGGAAATAGGAAAATTTAAAGCTGTATGCAATAAGCCCAGTTTTGAAGATTCAGGAAGTGGGTATTAGAAGCAGTTTTCAAGCTGGTGTGTTTGAGGCTGGTTCCCTAAATTTGTTATGGCTCTGTCTAGCTAAGCAGCTAAATGATGAGTTAAACATGTAAATCCCTATTGAGCTGACTATATTTAATAATTAGAAGTATCAATTGTGGACTAAGTCTGTACTGAAGAACCAATCTATCAAGATCAAATCCTAAAAGGGGTTAACACTCACAAGAAGCACATGGAACTGTTGGAGTGGGTCCAGAGGAGGCCACAAAAATTATTTGAGGGCTGGAGCATGTCTCCCATGAGGACAGGCTGAGAGAGTTGGGATTTAGCCTGGAGAAGAGAAGGCTGCAGGGAGACCTTATTGTGGCTGTTCAGTACCTAAAGGGAGCCTATAAGAAATATGAGGGTGATCTTTTTAGCAAGGCCTGCTGTGACAGGACAAGGGGTAATGGTTTTAAACTAAACCAGGGTAGATTTAGACTGGATATAAGGAAGAAATTTTTCACAATGAGGGTGGTGAAACCCAGGAATGGGTTGCCCAGAGAGGTGGTGAAGGCCCCATCCCTGGCAACATTCAAGGCCAGGTTGGATGGGGCTCTGAGCAACTTGATCCAGTTAAAGGTGTCCCTACTCACTGCAGGGGGGTTGGACTGGATGACCTCTAAAGGTCCCTTCCAACACAAAACATTCTATGATTCTACGAAATCCTTTTAGCTTCATGGTCAATATCCCAGGATTCGATTTGTAAAAGCTACCGTTTGGACAAATATTGTGGCTACTCATTCTGATGCTGCAACAGTCTCAGAGCTCATATCTGAAAATCAGAACGTCTTTGCATTTCTTGAAGTTGCTTCATTTGTGATTTGTCTTGGTTTTCTCCATAAGGAAAGTTAAACTTCCAGATTTGCAGAGTTCACATCAGTGCTACGCTTATGCGTAAAGGTGGCTATCAAAACTGGGATGCCTTAGTCAAAGCAGCCATTTTTTTGGGAGCACTGCCCTTTCACCTCTTGTTATAAGGACATTGTGAAATACAGCTGCAATACTAAACAGTGGCATCCAGCAGCTCTGTTCTGCTGGTTGAGAAGTCTTGTTGGGCGTTTGGTTTTCCTGGGTGTTCAAAGGAGGTGACTATATCACTATATCACTATAGTGATTAACGTGGACAAGTACTTCAGGGTAGTCTTATTAACCTAAGATGATGAAGTGGTAACTGTTAATGTGATGTGGGTCTCCAAAATTAAGTTAGGTCTGCTGTAATTATTAGAAACACCAAATGGAGATGTTACAGTTCTTATTCAGAAGGGGATTGCCATGCTAAATGATAATTCCAGAAAAAAATAGTGAAGATAAAGATCAAGATGAAATCTTCTGCACCGTGAGCGAATGTGAGAAAAAGCTGGAATCTGGTGGGCTTGGGAAGGTCCTAAACTTGTATAAGTCGGAACAGAGTCTTAAGAGAGCTTCAGATGAAGATGGCTTACTGCCCTGTTTCCCATTTTTGGTATAGAAGG